CCCCAAAACCCCAAAACCCCAAAACCCCATGAGAATGAATTAGATAGATTGATAGATAGTTAGGAAATCATTAACAACAGTTGATTAGGCGGCAAGACTGTCCCAAAGGGTATGTAGGATGCAGAATATTATAATAATTTTAATTATAATAATATATCTGTTAAATATGGAGGAAAAAGAAGATGAGCCCAATTAAATTTGTTTGAATTTTTTAAATAGTCCTCATAATACCTAAATTGATTTAAACCTCAAAATTTTCATCAAATATTCATAGCTTTTTCTCATTTTTAAGTTAGGTAAAACAACTTCTATTTGTAGTTAAAGTAAATAATCTCTGATAAAAAGAGGTATTTAATATAAGTCATGGTTTGGTATAGTTCTTGTCAGAAATTTATTAAGATAAATTGGATTAAAGTATAAACCTTGAATTTATTACTTGACAAAATATAATTGAAGAGTCATAATTTCACAATCTTATTCAAATTCTCATGGTGCTTATCAGAACTTAGGGAAAAACCTTAACTTTAAATCAAAAGTATGCACATGTGCAGAAACCTTAGCTTGGGTTCACTAGTGAGGGCCTCTAGGATATGAACGAGGAAGAATTGGAAGGAAATCTAGGTAGACTAGATGGATTGGCTATAACAAAGATGATGCTCGCATCGTCATTAAACTAAGCTTCCAGAAAACCAAATGGTATCAGAAAGCTGAAAAAACTCTCAAATGATAACTATAAGATTCTCAAACCTAAGCCTTGTCTCCTTATAAAGAAGAGCAACAGAGTTAAAAAACTGAGATTTTCAAAAATCTAAAGATTTGGAAGAAAATCAAAGCCAATGCGCAAGAGAGAGTCCTCCATGTTGGGTTACTTAGGCGGTAGAGATGTTCACAATGAGTGGGAAACTGAAAGCACAAAAACTGGGTACTCTAACTCATCTACTTCAAGTGTTGTTAATAATAAGTTTGGATTCCTAAGCGCCCCTTTATAGGAGTTTACTGATATTTGGCAAAATAGCACTCAAAGAAAGAATGTTCCCCTCCTAATTGTGAATAGACAATAAAGTAAGCTCATCTATCTTTGATAAATAATCATAATTGGTATTTATAGAGAGTTTGGATTCTGAAAATAAGAATACTTAATTTAATGACTTAAATACTGGATTATCAATTAAATTAAAAAGTCTTACTGATAAAAGGAAAAAACAGCCTTTCAAGTTGATATTCGAGGAGGATTATCCGAAGATATTCAAGAATCCTTGCATTAGTGATGAGCAGTTGAAAGAACATGTAAGTATTGATCAGAATTTATTTCTGTTTTAGAATTGTGACAATGATTATGATACTGATGAAGACTAAGTGAACAATAATAAGAGATTGTTAAGAGAATCATTGCTAGAGGCTCTAGGCGTTTTCGTTAAGAAGGATCCTCTAGACTAAGTTCAAAATCTCTATGACAAGTCTTTAAAAGCTTTTGATACAAGATCTAAAAGGTACTAAAAATAATCGTAAGATTCAATTTAAAATGTCGAAGAAACTAACTAACTTAAGTAATATGGCTAGCTAGGCTTCCTCTGAGATAAATCACTTAAATGTACAATTCAAAATCAAATAAAATTTACATTCGAGAATATGAAACTATAGATGTCTGAAAATTAACAAGTATTTATTCATCTTAACTCTTTTCCCAGTCACTATGTACTAAACTATTAGATCAATGGGGTTTTGGGGTTTTGGGGTTTTGGGGTTTTGGG